CACAACTAATCACCCAAGGTAATACATGCGAATTTAAAAGAAAACAATTTTGTCAACTAGTTGTGATCGTTGCGAAGTACTCCGAACTATTCCGAAGAGATTCGGAACACGATCGCTAGGGCGTGCATTGTAATGAATTTATGCTTTCTATCGATATTAATAATTTTTTTCGCTTTTTTAATACATACTTTCAGTATCAGTAACTACCTTTTGACTGTGACTAAAATTTTCCTGTGCAACTAAGAAATGCAATTTTAAATGTACTAACTTTTCAAGCAGTATACTCAGGTAAAATATAAATGCCAACTTCGAAAACAATTCAAGATTAAATTAAAGGAGTTTAAAATAAACTTTTAGTGATTTGTTGAACTTTAAAATAAAATTACTTTAACATAAAAAATTAAAACATTTAATACGTGGTATAGTCAAGCTGCAGTTATATTAGTAGTATAGTTGTACCATGAATGGGTCGGCTCGACCGGGGAAGGACCACGCTGTCACAGAATATCAGCATAAAATAGTAGCTTTATGCTGTGTTTCGTATGGTGAGTGTAGAGAACCGGCGACCCTTTTTACTGGAAACGAGGCATTCCATTCCCCATGGGTGACAACACATCTGCATTTAGATCATTTCATAGATAAATAAATGTGTAGATAGCTTGCTACACATTTATTTATCTATGATTTAGATTCGTAATCGAGGATAGATGTAGATGTCTATGGGCCACAACAACATTTACCATCATATGTACTGTGTGCTCGTTTGTCACCCTATCCTATAAAAAAAGGCCCCGTAGGAGATACGCAAGATAGTTCGGCTCAAGGTCGAGGCACTACGAGGTAGTACGGAGAGATTGAAAAGAGAATAAAAAAGATTTTCATGTTTATTTATTATATTTATTTTATTAAGTGCTATTATTGATTTTTAAAATGAATTAATTTTGTATATATTCTTCTAACTGCACATTTTTCTTCCAATTTTTGATTTTTAAGTATAAATGTCATTCTTGTGTCAATATATTTTTCATTACACTTTTCATTAAATCAATAATATGATTGGTTTCTTCGGCGTAAAATTGATGATGTGTATACTCCGGGAATAATTGTTCTTCTGTAAAGCTGCTAAGAGCTTTATGGGTCGACAGTTCAGCGGTGATTTTTCCTTTAGAGTCACTATTAATAAAATCTTTCTTGATTACGGACTCGCCACGCCGACATATTTTAACGAACATTTGTGAGGGAATAATTAACCCTCCATTATCTTTCTAGAATATGAGACTCTTTTTATCTTATTTTAATGACACTAAATCCTTTATACAGGTACTGCATCTGAGGCAAAAATAGCCTAGGTACTGCACTTCTCATTAGTGGCCACTTCTTGTTTGTCATCAAAAACAATCCTCAGTAAAATGTTTTGAGCACATGACGCTATATTTTGATGGAAACCAATTTTCTCTTTTTGTAACGTTTATCCATTTGTTTTTCATATTACAATCTTTTGGAAACCTATAGGGAAAAATCATACAGTTTAAATAAAATATCATTGTTATCGTACTTATCCAAAGCTACATGAAAACAATAATTATAATTAATATTATAAAGTATTACTAAGAGTAGTAGATAATAATCTACTACTCTTAGTAATACTTTAATCCAAAACAACGATATCTAAATACAATAATCATTTTGAATAAAACTTCATTTTCAATTTCAATTTAAGAAATCATTAATAATCATTTTGTGGATAATTATCGACAATACAAAATAAATATACCGCACTGCACTAGTCATTAGCGTCACGAGGCTAATTATGATAAGGAGAGACAGACATACATGTTTGCAGTAAATGCAAAAAGGACGGGGAGTGACGCGTGGCGGACCCGTCCAGTTTAACTTGACCCTCGTTGCGTAATAAAAATGTTGAAAATATTTTGGTAAAATAAAAAAATGTACTTACCGATGAAAAGTAATATTGTTTGTTGTTACACTACATGTTTTACTGTTGTTTCCGCACCATTTAACGGCGCAACAAGATATGATGCCGTAAATTGATTTTAATTTATATTTTCAATGTAAGCCGTCTCGTCGGTTCTAGTTGTTAAACACCATGTACTGCCGGTTACTGCCACAGCTCGGTGGATCATCCGATCTCGCCAGGAAGTAATTACAGAGGCTGCACACTTCGCGATTATGCATGGTGAGCACGCTTAAAAAGCCACACCCACCGTGCCTTCGCGGCAAGTACAGCCTCATTCCGACGATCTCGGATGATGCATTCTATGGGACGTCATGGTAGTGCGGATTTTTCCCTCCAGGTTCTAGTTGTTGGTCGCAACTGGCGGGAAACAAAAGTGTTCCGAAATATATCAGTGACTAGTCAGACGAGTTGACAGGTTCGGGTCTTGTATTACGTCTCTATAGGGTTAAGTGCTCGTAGCCACTAATGCACCCCCCCCCCCAGGCAGGCCCGTGCGAGAAGGAAACGAATGAGAACACAGCAAATGCAGATGTGTGTGTTGGCGCAATTATTAGCCAAAAAATTATATTATTATTAAATTTCTAAAGTCGATACTCGTAGAATTCTCTTTATATCACGATGACCTTCCGGAAGCGTAGGTCTAATGGGTAGGTACATAGATAGGATCAGGAGTCCAAGTTCCAAAGCCACTCGTAATGAAAAGATCAGGCATTTAAAATATAACTAAAAACGTAAAATGCACACAATACCAATAAACCAAAAGCTTCGCGTTTGAAACAGTGATTGCGATATGAACAGCGCTTGACCGGCTGACCAAACGTTTGGTTTCTTTCACATTTTTAACTGAAATTAGTTTATTTATGGATTACAAATTGGATGGTTTTCTAATTTGAAATATTAAATTTTCTGAATTTTATAAGCCAAGCTATATCTTAGGGCGATACAACTATAAATTCAGAATTAAAGATTATACTAAGCATATACTCAGCTAAGTTTTTAGTCTGAGCAGTCAAAATACAGCAATTTAGGAACTTCAGATGGGATAAATGCAAAATAAGTTACTAAGGAACATAATTTTATTTATTTCAAAAGGTAGTTAACTTCAACATAATTTATATATAAAAACTAAAATAACTTACATATATAAAAACTATGAAATGAGTATCTTTTAGTTGATGAAAAGTACAAAATTGTGCCCAAGCTTTATTGACTATATTATAACAGTATATTTGATCACAGAAAGCGCTTCAGCTTTGTTGTCACGTTATGAATTAAAACGGAGCAGCTTTCGAATAATCTATATATTATACACAAAAAGATACTATTATCGAAAAAGTTACCTCGAGTCTCTAAACAAGTATTGCCAGTATGTGAAATACCTTTTTATTAACTACTGGAATAAATGATTCTAATTGTATCATTAAGTGTTAGAAAAATTTTCATATTTGTGTTTACAAAAAAGTTGGTAAGAGCGTCAACAGTCAGGGGTTATATTAGTTGCAATATTTTTAAGTAAAGCTTGGACTTATTCTTATCTTAACTTTAACATAAAACAAAATTTACATATTTTTTTCCTTTTAAAAAATTTAATTTCAGTTTTTGTAACTTGAAAAAACGAAGCAAAATCATTTAAGTAACAACAAAGCTAAGAAACAACAAAATTTTCGATCATCATTGAGGCGTAAGCCATAAAAAATTAATTCACATCAATTTTTGTATAGATTATACCTTAATGATGATCGCAAATTTATTCTTTTGATACAAATGCATTCCTACATTTTGTATTAGATTATTTCGAAATTTCATCTAGTCTGTTGATCACGCCATTTGCGCATATAGACAAACTTATTTACTTCATCAATGGAAAACATCAATTTACTATGTGATAATAAGAAAAACAAGTATTATGTAAGTGTTCTTTATACAACAACTTATTTTACTTGAGATCTTATTGTAGTAATGAAAACGTTTAAAAACATAAATAGTTCTACAATGTTACTATTTTATATCTAACTTACAGTAACAAATGAAAAACAATATCAACACCAATTAGAGTGCACATAAGTGCAATATAAATTATTTGCCTATTACTTCCTTTATTTTCAGCATCATAGATATAGATATTAAAAGAAAAAAATATTAATGTACATTTTAGCTAGATTACTGTTACAAAAACATAACAAATTTTTAGTATAAAAAGGGTGTAACTTTGATTAACATCGACGAGATCTTGCTATTTACTTGATTATCAAATACTACAATTAAAATAAAATCATTAAAATTTGTCATTAAAGATGTAACGATCGTTTTGGCGTCACAAAACAATGTATTTAAATGCAAGTTACTGAGTTATACATAAACAGCAGCATTTGTAATCATTGGAAGTATCAGAGAAATATATCAATAGATTACATTGGAATGTTTTCAATAAACCAATTTTATTAAATCTATGTCAATAATCATCTACTAGTAATTAAATAATTGCTTAAATCCCAATATGTATAGTCATACAAAGTTTTAAAATAATTTCAGTGTAAATGCCCTGCAAGTTATTTCATATATATAGGAGGTCTTTAACAGATTGTATTGTTGAATAATAAAGACAAATGGCTTTTAAAAATAAACATTCTTAAAATACTTGTGGTAACCCTTACAAAAACCCTTACGGTAACTGACTGTTATTTTACTTTTTGTACTATCAGTGTCACTTATTACTAATTTTACATATTCTTCATTCACTATATTCATCTTTCTTATTCTCTACTTTCTATTATTTAACATGTTGACAGTAATGTTCTATTTTAATACCCTGTGTTTGTGCCTCAAATAAACTAAAACTTAACTGTTATATAATATATACACTGCTAAACTCAGACCTCCCCTAAGGAATGCCTCAAAACACGTTTGCTTATTATTGGTGTACCACATAATTCGATTCTTTCTTTTTATTAGTTTGTAAAATGGTGGAATCTACATATAAAATGATAGTAAAATGTTTTCATCTACACACTGCACCCCTCTTTCACTCACAGCCCCATCTCATAGTGTAGTTCTTAGTCATATGTTCCATGACATCAAATGTACGTGAAACAGCCATTAGACGCTTCAGTAAGCATTTAGTTGATAAAATCAATACCTGCAAACAAGTAAATTATTATTTTTAAACAGAAACATAAACTTTTTTATTCAATATAGATTATAAATAATACTTATAGAAAGTCATTTTTTTTAATTTATCACTGGTTCGGAAAAAAAACCTCTGTTCTGAGAATAACCAGCAAGAAACCAAGCGGGACTTTTAAAAAAAACAGTTTACAATCATGTACGTTACAACTAACAACACAACCAATTAGAAATAACTTGGTAGCGAACACCCTTCCCATCATCCATACTCTTCTTATTATAATAACCCTTTTTATATAAACTGTTTAATAAAGTTTTTGAACTTTGTGCAGGTCAAATGTTGTATATTTTGTGGGATTTTGTCGTAAAAGCGTATACATCACCCCAAGAATGAATTACTGACTCGGTGGAGTGGAGATTAAAATAAAAAAGACAGACTGCAGTGTCTTACTCATCATCATTACATCACAGGTCAGGTCGCTGAACATATCTCTTACTGCTCTATGACAAAATGTCTTAACAGCAGTGAACTACTATTAATTAGCAAAATGTTTTGACATTTTCGATTGCAAGAGTACTGTTGCTAGAAACATTGATTTTCTATTAGGGATCACTTAAGACGCGAAACACCCGATGGTATACCAGCTACAGATCTAAAGGCTTGTGCACCTGAGTTGTCTCCTGTGTTGACGCATTTGTCCCGCCTCTCATTTAGGACTAGAATAGTGCCGAAATCTTGGAAGCTGACCAACGTGCAGCCTATTCCAAAAAAATGCAGCCGTGCCGACCCTGCCAATTATTGGTCAATCTCAATTACCTCCATACTCTGCAAGATTATGGAGCGTAAATTGAACACCCGCTTAATGGCATACCTAGAACAGAATGACCTCCATAGTGACCGGCAATACAGGTTTCGCTGAAGTCGGTCAGCTGGGGACCTTCTAGCGTATGCCACACACGTATGTGGCGAGGCGCTCGAAAGCAGTGGAGAACCAGTTGCTGTTTCCCTTGATGTCGCGAACGCCTTTGACAGAGTTTGACACGCTAGCCTCTTGGATAAGCTTCCAGCGTACGGCTTATTCCCCTGATCTGATTGACTGGGTAAAGTAATTTCTGAGTGAATGGTCTCTCCGGGTTGTCGTCGATGGCTGCTCATCCGATCCTGTGGCGACTAATGCCGGTGTTTCTCAGGGGTCCCTTCTCTCCGCAACTCTATTCCTGCTGCATATTAACGATTTGCTTAAGCCCGGTATCTATGGGTATCTAAGCAGACGACAGCACAGTTGTGGAGAGATACCCACCAAGTCCTCGGGCCAGTCGGGATCAAATCCAGTCCGGAAGAGCAACAATGGTAGAGCGTGTGAATCTCACACTACAGGCAGTCTCCGAATGTGGTGATGCTAATCTTGTGAAATTCAACGCCTCCAAAACACAAGCGTGTCTGTTCCCTGCAAAAAAGGGGCCAGCTCACCTTGGCTCCTTCTTTCCGAAATGTATCACTGGAATACACTGACTGCCTTCAGTTGTTGGGGATTGAGATATTCTCAAATCTGAACTTTGTGCGGTTCATTGAGTCCAAGGCCAAAGCAGATGCCAGGAATCTAGGTTTCTTTACAAAGGTGCGGCGATACTTCACGCCGGGATAGCTGCTTTGCATACAAATTCGGAGTTAAAGATATATACATATCTAGGGTTCATACCCACTTTGTGGTAGCCAAGCACCACTACTACACATTGTATGCTTATATCCCTATTACACTATCCTGAATCAGGCTCCCTACGTTCGGGTTCAGGGTGGTGTAATAAGAGAATGGGAGTAAGGGTCCCTAATTAGGGCGTCAAAGTGTACCCTGTCTGCAGTGCCCTTCCACCGTACAGTGGAACAAACACAATAAGATCTATTTGCCTATCGTGGCATCTTGGTATCCAGTGAGCGGTTATTTTCAGAGGTTGGATCTACAATCACGCAGGACTAGGCACCAGGTTGTCAAAATTGTTATTTTAAAATTAAATTCGAAAGAAATAAACGTAAAAGAAATATTTAACTAATTCTTGTTTTCTGATAATTATTCGATAAAATTAAATGTGTAGAAATAAATAGTGTAACACTTCCTAAAATAACATAAATATAATGTTCAATTTTTATACTTATTTGTTTCATTTCCGTTCAAAATGATTATTTAGTCCTTATGTATATTTGTATGTATATATTTAAATGATGATAAAAAACATCGAAAAAATCGATATATCGTACATAAGCTTTGATGTTTTTAATGAGCGATGTTGCATCCTATAGATATGCTTACTTGAGGAAAAATTACGACTCGAGTTAACTCAAGTTCAAATTCATACAACTCCAAGTAAACTCTAGTTACGCAACTAGAATTAGCAGGACGAAACACAGTAAATTATTTCTTACAATTACTTTAAAATATCGATTCAATAAATATATATACTTTTTTCACTTGTCCATCCCTATGACTGAGAAAGGGCGTAAAATCAGGGTAGTGTAATAACTAACGTCCCTAACTAGGGGCCACGCCCACCCTTCATACAGTGCCCTGATTCAGAGTGGTGTAATAGGGGCATTAGTTTAAGATATCCAGTCCATCCAATAAGTTAATATACTTATTTCCGGAAGTAGGCTGTTGAGCGGTGAGAATAACATTACTTTGCTCAGAATGTATACAAATACTTAATAACATTACGAATTCAACCCTACCTTTATTTCCGGTTTGAGAGGCAAAATCGCGATAAACCACCAAAGCCAGGCCGGCCCGTCAGGTGACTGTAACCAACTTTCGTCCGTGCCAAAGTAGCTCGGTAGCTCTCCGAAGGCAGCCTCTATTGACTCACGAACGGCTTCATTCACAGTGTTCAACCATACTTGAGCTTTGTAAGAAGTTATCCACGCCATATTGCGAATCTTCCAAATGGCCAAATCTTCTGACGGAAGTTTGTCGACCAGCGGCTCAATTCTCGCGACGTCGCAACTGTAAAGATAGTAAAATTTTCGAATAATTGCATACAATTCCGTGGAAATATAGTAGGGTTTGATCGCATCAACTTCAAAATAATAATAATATAGGGTGATAATAGAACAGAGTAGTTGCGGTGTAAGAATATTCACTACCCGATGTGTCTATCAGGTATCACTACACAATATGTAGACGAATATTTGGATATATTTAAGTATTTGTTATTGAATTATGCAAATATCGAAAGAAATTTGCATGAACTTTGGTACATCGATTTTATTAAATATTGTGTCCTCGATTAACACCCCGATTGCATCATAGGTAAACAACTTTTACTGTGGGAAAATAAACTTTAAGGCGTTTTCGTTTCCAAAGAAGAATTACTGAATTACCCAAGGTAGTTACAAATAAACTAATAACTTTCCTACTTTTAATAGTAAATTACTATTAGTAGTTTGTGGGACAGATATTGTACTCCAAACAGTCGATCATAGCCGAGTGTTCTATTTTCTCTCACTTTATTAAAAGTTCTACGCAAATACGATAAGATATCTGTATCTGGGCGCATATGTCACTTTTTTGTATGCAGATTTTATACGCAGACCAATATTATGGTATCTGTTTAGTCTGTAACAAAGTTTACTGCGTATTTTCCAGGTGAAAGATATGAAACACTGGCAACGGGAATCAACGAGAAGTCTTGTACTATGATCGTCACTTCATGAGCCAAGAGAATATAAGCCTAAGTAAGGATAAGTCCACGTTAAGTAATGAAACTTATTGGCCTGTGAAAAATTATTAAAAACTTTTTATAATATTCAAAAGTTGAAAGAACATCACATCGAATCTGGCAATGTTAATACAAACAAAATAGACTTACCCATCCCAAACGTGCTTCTCGATAACTTTGAATCGTGACAACCCTACTGTCGACAGTATAAAGCTTCCGTCCTCCAGTAGGACGCAATCGCATACTTCTAATACCTGTTAGCAAGAAATTAACAAAACTGAAATCTTTAAACATAACTGAAACACATTTAATTTTAAGCAGGTACTACTTCGACCAGTAAAGTAAAGTAAAGTTACAGCCTATATACGTCCCACTGCTGTCATTTTTGAGAGGGTTTTAGGGCAAGGAAGTATCCGCCGCGCTGCCCCAATGCGTGTTGGCGAACTTCACATGTCTTCGAAATATTTTTTTCTTATTCCTCAGACATGCAGGTTTCCTCACGATGTTTACCTTCACCGCCGAGCACGTGGCATATCAGCACTTAAAATTGCAATTAACAATTTCATTGGTGCCGGCGGGGATCGAACCCGGGTTGCTCGCGTTCTGTTATATTTACAGCGAGCGCTAACCATCTGAGCTACCACGGCTCACTCGACCAGGTCACCGTGTAATGACGATGTAAGAATATCCACTATCCCATATCATCTCGGGGGTGTTGTCGTAAGAGGCGACAGTGGGAAACAAAACCAAAACAAAGTGCCAACTAGTTTCGTAATGTTTATTACTCAATACAAGCAATGGTAGTTCCATCAGCGATGCGATGCCGGCATGTAATACCAAATGCTCAGCAGTAAAAGAAAACTTCGGACGGAAACACGCAAGCCTACGAAATAAGAATAGCTTAGGAGTTCGTCCGGGTAGGTACCACATTTCTACCCAGCCCAGCGGGCGCAGCCCGTGTAATGGAAACTAAATAAAGGAGACATATCTTACAACCAGTAAGTCGAAACCATTTATATTTTGTGAACAGTAGAAACAAAAATAAAGAAATATTGATGTGTTAAAAACATTAATCAAAAGTCTAAAATGTGTTCGCCCAGTCTGTCGATACAGCGAATCGGGTTTGTAGTAGTGATAATACGACGTAATTGCTTGTATATGTGCTCCCGGCGACACCGATCCTCGTGCACAATAAGGTTGACAGCCATTCTATTGTGTATTATAATATTCTATGTTTCCACCTATTTCTACCGCCAAGAGGCAATGCTTTGCACTGTAGTGTTCTTGTCTAAAGGGCTTCACAGTCAGTAATTAACTGGCAAGAGCCAGTACAGTTAATTATTACAGGCTGTGAGTAATGCAACCTTAAGCTTTGATCTCTTTATCGTAACGCACAACGCTGCGGTATGCGGCAGGCGCTGCCGGACACATAATCGTATGAAAAACGTGTAGAGTGCTCTCTTGTTCCGTCGTAGTATGCGTTAGCTGTAAAAGGCAAGCGCGGTGAAGTGGGAAGCGGGGTACTCCGCTCTGCGCGGCGTTGTTCTCGTTGCGACGCTGCGGTGTGCGTTATAGGTTAACAATGGATGTGTTTGAAGATAATTTAATATAATTAATCCGCAATCGTCCCTCTTTATATAAAAAAATAAAGACAAACTTCTTACTTCCTACCCCAAAACAAAGCACAAATTTCAAAACTATTGTTCACGTTGACACGTCTGCTTTGTTGGCTGCGGCAAAATCAACCGACCACTTCTCCGCATGATGCTAAACACTGCGTCGTGACGCTGCGTTTGAGCCGCATACCGCAGCGTTGTGCGTTACGATCAAGAGACCAAAGCTTTAGGCTTCAGAGCTGATAACACATCGGTAGCCTTCTTAATCTTAATTCATTAAAAAAACTTATTTCTTTATTGTGCTTTGTCTAGTAACTTACATGTGCAATAAAGGGGAATAAATAGTGTATCAACAGTTGTTACGAGGGCGACACTGAAAGTTTTTAGAACTGGCCACTTGTAAACTATATAATAATAAAAAACTCTTTGCTAATATTATTGTTTATTGAATTTAATTATTTGTCATTTATATACGGTTTGGCGGCAAATTAAAATTAAAATTTAATTTTCTGTGTCACGTTAGCATGAATTAAACGCAAAAAAATTTCGTACAATGATTTTTTATGACTTCGATGTAATTTAAGTCAACAAGAAAGTTATGATAAACTTCGATTGGCCTTTCACGATGAAGCCTCATCTCGTGCCACTGTTTACAACTGTTTTATTGAGTTTAAACGTGGTCGCACTAATTTCACCGATGATCCGCGTCCTCACGCGGATCATCGGTGAAATTAGTAGACGGCCTTCTACGGCGACGACTGAAGATAACATCAGTGTTGTGCGGCGTATGATAGAGATTGACAAAAGAGTGACTTATCAGCAGATTCGTACAAGTTTATGCATCGGTATGAGTCAAGTGCACAAAATCCTCCATGTACATTTAGCGGTCTGGAAGCTTTGTGCCCGATGGATACCTCATAATTTGACAGAGGCCCAAAAACTCCGCCGTGTTGATTGGTGTCGTGAAATGATTTAACAGAAAAACGTCAAAGATTTAACGGAGTTGACTCAAATGCTGTGATCGAAATACTTACGGGTTACGAAAGCTGGATTTATTGTTATGATCCTGAAACTAAGAGACAGTCTGCCGTCTGGGTGTTTCCTTCCGAGGAGTTGCCAACTAAAGTGAGGAGAGGTCGAGGCGTGGGAAAAAAGATGGTGGTTTCGTTCTGCGGAAAGACATGTCATTACGCAAAAAATGTTTTAGAGGATCGAAAAACAGTTACTGCAGAGTGGTACACTAACAATTGTTTGCCACTTGTCTTGAAAAAAGTTCGGGAGAAACGAGCTCGTAGTAGCATCTTCCTTCACCACGACAACGTCTCATCGCACACCGTCAAGCAAACAATCGATTACTTGGCGACGTCGAAGACGTGGAATTACCGGGTCACCCGCCCTATAGCCCCGATTTCCAAAAATAAAAGGAAAACTTCGAGGAAAACGTTTTATGGACGCCGAGGAAGCAGTGGCTGCGTTTCAAAGTGCCGTCGAAGAGACCCCTAAGGATGAGTGAGCAAAGTGCTTTTCTCAGTGGTTCCATTGTACGAGGGCGGCACTGAAAGTTTCGGGAATGAAGGAAGTGACACAACATTACTATTTAAAAATGTATTTATTGCTTTTCGAAGTATTCTCCGCGAAATTTGACACATTTTTCCATACGATGGAACCAATCATTGAAGCAACCATTCCATTCGGAAGTTGGGGTCTCCAAAATGGCCGTTTTGTAGGCGTCCACAGCTTCTTCAGGTGATGAAAATCTCTGTCCACGCAATTTATTCTTTATTTTAGGGAAAGTATAGAAATCATTAGGGCTTAGGTCGGGGCTGTACGGCGGATGGTCCAATAATTTTATGTTTTCTTGCACTAAAAACTCTTTTGTTCTGTGTGTGGTGTGAGAACTCGCATTGTCGTGATGGAGGATGATGTGGCGGTTGCAGTTCTCTTTACGGAGTGCAGAAACGACCTGTGGCAAACAAATGCTAGCATAGCATTCTGCATTAACCGTTCTTTGTCCCTCAAGAGGAATAGTCGTAACATGGCCGGTTTTGGAGACAAACGTGGCCACCATTTTTATTTTGCAACACTCCGTGAACAACCAATTTTTGTTGGCTTTAACTCATTTTTGAACACCCAAACTCGTGACTGGTTTTTTTTTTCGGTTACGTACGCATATATCCAGGATTCGTCACCTGATACGATGTTGTATACAGCATTTGAGGATCCTGCGCGAAATCTTTCGAGAGTTCTGACGCGCCAAGTAACGCGAGCCGCTTTTTGCTTTTCACAGAGCGAATGCGGTATCCATCGGGAAAACAACTTTTTTACACCTAATTGTTCATGCAAGATTATTTGTATTTGACTCATGCCAATGTCTAAAGTTGCTTGAATTTCGCGGTATGTCATATGTCGATCTTCCTCAATCAGCTTACGCACATCATCAACGTTTTCTTGGGTGACTGCAGTTTTTGGACGACCTTGACGGGGATCATCACTGAGCTTTACACGTCCACGTTGAAATTCAGCAAACCAGCGATAAATTGTGGTTTTGGATGGGGCTTCATTACCAAATGCAGAAATCATCCAGTCAAGACACTGTTATTGTGTTAAACCACTTCGAAAGTCATAATAAATCATCGCTCTCGAATTTTCTCGAGTCAATTCCATTTTCTCAACAACTAAACAAGTTTGACAAAACCTTGTGACAAGACCGAGAATCTTTTTTTTAAATAAATAAATGGTATTGGATTTTTAAAACCAAGGAGTTTTCAATTAAAAAGATTTTAATATGACAGGAACAGTGGAAATATTCCATTCCCGATACTTTTAGTGCAGCCTAGGTATGCAACGATGTATTGCTGAAAAATGGACACTTTTTTGAAAAGGTATAATAAAACTAATAACTTGCTAGTATGTTCAGTTTTAGATTTTCTAAGAACTTTCAGTGTCACTCTCGTATTAATTTTATTTGGACTTAGATAGTAATACACACATTTTAAACATTGCACAACATATATACGGGTACATGATGCATGTAATAGTTTGTTCTGGCATTACTAAATGTTATTACGATATATTCGCATAAGCAAGTGGTGTATTAAGCGACTTACGGTGCCGTAATAATCGGCGTCATTGCGATACTTCTCGTGGGCCAGCATGCCAAATTTTCGCGACCCCGAATCCAATATCCGACGAACCATTATCCAGTATCTGGGGTCGAACATGAATAACGGGCAAGGAATTCTAAGGACAAAAGAACAAGTTTAATTAAACATTTGCTTACATAAGTTTAACATAATACTTTTTTTACAATTATATTTTATATATATTATATTACATTATTTGACAGAAATCTCACAGTAAAGTGGTGATGTAGATATAGCCCTAGATGGTATTGCGCAATGGCTCACATTAATTTAAAAAAACGTGCATACATTTTCATGTTTGCCTTGACGAAACCTATGTTAACCAATACTAAAAGTAACCAATAAAAATGCCCCTTACAAAAAATTTAAACTATATTTAAAAGGATCTAGTTAAAAATATGCACTTCCACCACACTGCAGTCTACCTGATGGCAAGTGGACGCTGTGGCCCAAGGACATCTTCATCTAACCTCGATTAAACCCATTTATGTCCACTGTCCCCATTGGGGCCACTTTTTAAGTCCCTACATTTTGTAACTTACTTTAAGTATCTTTTGTTTGGAGGCAAATTTGTAATGCCAAAAAGAGTGGCTTTGTAATACAAAATATATTTTCGTGATTTGTTGAATAAAGGGAAGAAGTTAGTGATTTTATTTACTTAAGGATGAGCTTTTTACGTGGTAGAGCCACGCTGCAGCTATATTATAGTTGTAGCACGAATGGGTCGGCTCGACCGGGGAAGGACCACGCTCTCACAGAATACCAGCATAAAATAATAGCAGCCTAATACTACTGTATTTCGTATGGTGAGTGTAGAGATCCGGAGACCCTTTTTTACTGGTTACGAGGCATTCCATCTTAGTCCTCAGGGGTGACCAGACCTGCGGTTTGATTTTTAATCGTGGATAAATTTAGATTTCTATGGGCCACAGCATCCACTTATCATCAGGTGGACTGTGTGCTCGTTTGTAACCCATATTCTATAAAAAAAGTTCAAAACAGTACTTTTAAAACCTGTTTATATCCATCAACCGTTTATCTTAATCTTAATTATCAATTACTTTAGGAATTTTTATGGTCTAAATTGTTAGCAGAGATTTTTTTTAAATTAATACAGTACGTGTTAATGCTATCAAGAAAACTAAACACAGGTTTTATTAATTTCCCTTTTAGAATCAAGCTAAAAACTCTTATTTACTTCTAAACTTAAAATATTTTAAAATAACTGACAAATTTAAGAAACAAAAAATTTTTATCAATATGAAAGACGCCAAGGAAACTGAAGAAAATATATTTTGATTTCGGTTTAATACATAAGAAATTAAAAGTTCAAACCATGTGAAGTTTTTAAGCAAATACTGTGGATAAAACGATTAGTTTCACCTTTTTATGTTACTTAGCATATTACAGTAATAGCTTAATATCTTAGAACATATTTTTTAGTATTTACCTTTTATAATTGATAATAAAATAGCTTTGTTATTTTTCTATAAAAATTTTAAAAGTATTATAAAACTCCACGATGAGATCAATTTAAATTAGAAATTTAGAACACCGCTAGGCTTTCCAGAGTGGACACGTCACTCGGCCCTCTGCCTGACGTTTGCCATGCATACTAAATTCAGACCCTCAAAATACATTGTACATGGAAAATAAAGTTATACAATTTGTACCACGTTTGACGTTTCATATTTTATTCCCCATGCGCTGGGGATTTGGCGTCACGCGATTAGCGTATCCATACGTTTCGTTATTCGGCGTTTTTGATTGGAATTGAAATGAAATTGCATTACGATATCTTGTTCATAGCAAAATATTGCTATGAACATGATATCGTTTCTCTCTCTCTCTCTCACTTATTCATCATCATCATCATCATCATCATCATTACAGCCCTTCACAAGTCCACTGCTGAACATAGGCCTCCCCCCAAGTAATGTCACAAAGCACGGTCCTGAGCCACCTGCATCCATAGACTTCCTGCATATCTTACCAGGTCGTCACACCATCTAGTGGGGGGTGGCCCTACACTACGCCTACCGGTACGAGGCTGCCACTCGAGAACCTTTCTTCCCCATCGGTTATCGGTTCTTCGAGCTATATGGCCGGCCCATTGCCATTTCAGCTTACTAATCCGTGGGGCTATGTAGGTCACTCTGGTTTTACTGCGGATATCCTCATTTCTGAGTCTATCACGCAGAGAAACTCTCCATAGCTCGCTGAGTGACTTTGAGCGTCCTCATACGGCCACGGCCAGCAGTGAAGGACCACGTCTCGGTTCCGTAGGTCATCACTGGCAACACGCACTGGTTGTGCAACTTAGTTTTCAGGTTTTGAGGTATACCTGACGAAAAGATGCGTTGTAATTTCCCGAACGCTACACAGCCGAGTTGAATCCGTCGATTGAGCTCTCGGTCGAAGTTGGACTTACCTAGTCGGGCTATTTGTCCCAGGTAAACGTACTCGTCAACTTCGAGCTTAGTGCTCCCAACAGCTACCGGCATAGGTGTGACATGGATATTAAACATGATCTTTGTTTTGTCCATGTTCATCTAAGACCTATCCGTTGGGAGGCACTATTGAGGTCATTGAGCATAGTGCTTAAGTCCTCCAGCGATTCCGCCATAAGGACTATATCGTGGGCAAATCGAAGGTGAGTGATGTACTCGCCACTGATGTTAATACCGTATCCTTTCCAGTGCAGTAGCTTGAAAACGTCTTCCAATGCAGCGGTGAAGAGTTTCGGGGATATAACGTCACCCTGTCTTACACCTCTCTGCAGTTGGATAGGTTTCGAGCTCTGGTTCTGTACTCGGATAGCCATCGTAGCCCTACTGTACAAACACTTCAGCACTTCGATATACCGACAGTCAACTTGGCACCGCTGAAGGGACTGTAGCACCGCCCAAATTTCGACGGAATCAAAGGCTTTCTCATAGTCCACATACGCCTGGCAAAGTGGCAGATTGTACTCTTCAGTTTTCTGTACAATCTGCCGCAGGGTATGTATGTGGTCTATGGTACTGAAGCCTTTTCGGAAACCGGCTTGTTCGGGAGGCTGGAAGTCGTCAAGTCTGCGTGCGAGACGATTCGTAATGACTCTCGAAAACAGCACGTAGACGCAGCTCAGAAGGGAAATCGGTCCGTAGTTCTTCAAGAGAACGTTGTCGCCTTTCTTAAATAACAAGACCACCGCACTTCTGCTCCACGCCTCTGGAGTAGTGCCACCATGGAGGACGGAATTGAAGAGCTTCTGAAGGGCTTAAAGTACCGGTGTTCCACCCGCTTTCAGAAGCTCCGCTGTAATTCCATCCTCGCCTGGGGCCCTGCCGTTTTTAAGGTGCTAGAGAGCCATTCTAATCTCGCTTAGACTGACGTCCGGGATATCATCGGAATAGTGTCGGATAAGACTTGCTCTTGGATCGTTACTCACACTTGCGTGTGGCTCCAACGATGATGTGTACAGCTGCCCATAGAACCTCTCAATCTCACTCAAAATCTCAGGTGTCCCGGAAAAGATGCTGCCACACTCAGTCTTCAGCTTTGACAGTTGGCTCTTACTGGCAGACAGATCTCTGGCAAAGACTTTGGAGTCCTTGTTCCGCTCGAGCGCTTCTTTAATACGAGCAGTATTAAAGTCTCGCCGCATGCATTTGGGGATCTGTCTGTACAGTTGCCTGTATGCTGTCAAATCTGTTGACGATAGCAGCCTCATCTCCCGTCTAACAGCTATGAGATTAAGAGAGTGATCGGAGAGTTTTTGTGTTCTTCTGCGGCGGGTCTTGCAGAACTTAGCTCCGACCGCATGGACAGTTTCCACTAGCTTGTCATTCATATCGTCCACAGCATTGCAATCTTGTAGGCATGTATGGTGTAGTGGTGGTTAAGAATATCCATTACCCCATATTTTCCCGTGGGTGTCGTAAAAGGCGACAGAAGGAAACAGGCAGGAGATGGGCAGCAGCATCTTCCTGATAGCAGCAACTGTACGACAAAAAAAAACTGCGGTTGCGAACCCGCTAGCCAAGCGTGGCAACTATGGCAATATACCCCCCATGAACAATTACACAAATAGACGGCCCCCAGTCCCCGGCGGCCTCGCTATTCCTGGCTACGGTAGCGACCATGGTAACGGCGGGGCAGGGGGTGCTAAAAATCTCCGGTGGAGGTTCGGTTGCCACCTACGACGACTCGACCTGGCAACATTTAACCCACGCACCCTGAGGACTGACGAGAAGATCCTGGAGCTGGAAGAAGAGATAGACAAGTTGCGCTGGAATATTATAGGATTATCCGAGGTCCGAAGAGAGGGGGAGGACACGGTGGTTCTCGAATCCGGCAACTTGTTCTATCACCGGGAGGGCGACCATCTGTCCCAAGGAGGTGTCGGATTTATCGTCCACAAGTCTCTCGTCAACAACGTTGTAAAGATCGGGAGTGTGTCAACGAGGGTCGCGTACCTGATACTCAGAATCACCAAATAGTATTCGCTGAAGGTCATACAGGTTTACGCACCAACCTCGGCACATCCCGATGAGGAGGTGGAGGAAATGTATGAGGATATTTCCAAAGCCATGCATTCCTCCAAAACCCACTACACGGTGTTGATGGGAGACTTCAACACAAAACTAGGCACAAGAGAAAACGGTGAGCTGAAGTTAGGGAAATTTGGAGTGGGGCAACGGAACCGAAGGGGCCAGCAGCTGGCCGACTTTATGGAGAAAGAGGGACTCTTTATGATGAACTCTTTCTTCCAGAAGCGACCCCACAGGAAGTGGACCTGGTCGAGCCCCGACGGTTCGACAAAAAATGAGATTGACTTCATTATGACGACCAGACGAAAACTGTTCAGTGATGTCTCAGTGATAGCAGGGTGAAAACTGGCAGCGATCACCGAAGGGTTAGAGGCACACTGAACCTAAACGTTAAGTTGGATAGGTCTCGTCTAATGAAGTCAACGCTCCGTCCCCCTCATGCTCTAACCCAGAATCCCGAGAACTTTCAGCTCGAGTTACGTAACCCCTTTCAGTGCCTACAAGATAGCAATTATTCATAATATACATTAATACTTCACTGTCAGAACGAGCGGGATAGTAAAATATTACGTGTGGAATGCCTAACTTGTCGTTGACTGATTAGGTTTTGCTGAACGTACAGAAATTCCCATTATTGTAGGGTAAATATTAAAAAGTAAAAGAACCGAAAATTGTTGAATAACGGTTAATATACATGTATTGATAATAACCTCTGGGAATGAGGTGATCGGTACTATACTGTTTCTATTTTTTTTCATAGTTGTTCTTAATTGTAAATTGTAAATTAAAGTTTTAAAACAAATGTCCTGCTGAGTTTCTTCGTGGGACAGAGGCTTTTTCCAATCCAGTGGTAATATGCCATTATTACTATTATTATATTGGAATATTCTTGTAATATAGATTGAGTAAACAATTTATTATTTCATTATAAGCTGCAGCATTAATCTACATTTTGACTGAATCTTGTTTCTTAATCGGGCTCAAAGAATTTTATTTCATTTTTAGTCATACGCGGCTAATAATATATTAGCTACAATATATAACCCTAAAAATATTTTTTTTTTGTAGGATAAGGGTGACAAACGAGCACACAGTCCACGTGATGGTAAGTGAGTGCTGTGGCAAAATTAAAAAAATTACAGCAAAATTACACTCTTTAAGATTTTGCCACCGTTAGGGATGGCAAATTTACATCGGACCACCCATTAAGTATACCTATTCAATAAAAGATAGAGTTAGTAGAAGTAGAGATATCGTGTAATATATATACAAATAAAAACATACAGTCAAATTGTAAAGTCTCAAAGCTCCTTCTTTGGAGTCGGCTAAAAGCAAATAGCAAATGCATAAAAATAACGCTATTTTGTCGTTTAAAAAAATTATCACAAGGAAGTTAGAATATTATATGATAAAGCAAATGAAACATAATATTGTTTAATCACTCACGATGGGAAAGCGACTGTGCACACTAATATAGGAATTACGTCGGGTTCCAGCGGTGGAGGCGGGCATCTGGCGTCGATAGCCTCGAGTGCGGCCGAAATAAATATTGTGTCCGCCGTCTGTAAGAAATAGTTATTTGAAGGAATTACAAGTAGTAAAAGTAAAGTAAAGTTACATCCTATACACGTCCCACTGCTGGGCAAAGGCCTCCCCTCATTTATGAGAGGGTTTTAGAGCAAGGAAGTGTCCGCCGCGCTGCCGCAATGAGTGTTGCCGAACTTCACATGTCTTCGAAATGTTTTTTCCTTATTCCACAGACATACAGGTTTCCTCACGATGTTTTCCTTCACCGCAGAGCACGTGGTAAATCAGCACTTAAAATTGCAATTAACAATTTCATTGGTGCCGGCGGGGATCGAGCCCAGGTTACTCGCGTTCTGTTATATTTACAGCAAACGTTAACCATCTAAGCTACCACAGCTAAACAAGTAATAAGTAGCCCTAAATAGAAGAATAAGCACAACAATCCAATCGATACCATAGTTACAATTATTTCGAAATATTAATTGGGAGAACAAGTTTTTGTCTCAATATTTGCATATTTATTAATTTTAATTATTAATTTATAATTAAAAACTCCACATTAGGTAGTCTGCCAAAGATATTTCTACTTGAAACTCATACTTTTGTAATGATAATTCTATCTTCAAATCATTTCTAGCATCCTTAATAGTACGTGTTATAGCGTTTTTGAATAAAACAAAAAGCAGATTCTGTTTTAAATAAACATACCGATAGTAAATCGAACTCGTCCAATTTGCTTACACAAAGTGCGCAATATTTGCTATAGTCAAGCAGCCGTTCTAGGCAAGTGCGACAGTATGTGTGGCCGCATGGTGTGGTCACAGGTTTTATGTACACGTTGTAGCAAAGCGGACATTCGAGGTCCGATGTTCGAAGCCACGATGTGGCACTTTGTGCACGAGTCATGCGATTGAGTTCGCGTATGAGACGACGTGGGTCCTTGCCCTCTGATAATGCATCTATAGTCTGAAACAAGAATAAATTTACTTATTAAAGGTAAATAGGACATAAATAATTTATTTTAGATACAGTTTTAACGAGAGAATTGATACTTTTTGGAACAATTTTACGGAAAAAATATGCACATACACGAAATACTCAACAAAATTCATAATCGCACAGAGTTTTGAAAACTTTATATTAATCGGGATAAAAAGTAGTTTGTTTAATCACCACAAAAACTTTTGACTTATGAGTTTAGTTTTTTATGCGATAGCCATACAAAAATTTTCGATTTTACGAAACGCATGTTATTGAATGAGATTTTTCATCGACTACATTTTTATTAAAATAAGTTACTTCCTGATTATAAACAATAACGTTTGATCCACTGACAATGCGAACAGATATAGCATCTTCTATCGCATTAGTATCAGCTGCTAAATATCATTATCGTATATTGCGAAGAAACACAAAATTCCATCATGTAGAAGATTTGCTGTCCACTAAAGTGTAATCTATACAAAATTTGCTGTCGCCAGCGGTTTTCCGAACCACTTACCATTAGGTGAGCCATATGCTTGTTTCATCATCATCATTACAGCTCTTCAAAAGTCAACTGCTGAACGTAGGCCTCCCCCAAGAAACGCATCAAAGCACGGTACTGAGCCACCTGCATCCATCGACTTCCTGCATATCTTACCAGGTCGTCACTCCATCTAGTGGGGGGTCGCCCTACACTACGCCTACCGGTACGAGGCTGCCACTCGAGAACCTTTCTTCCCCTACGGTTATCGGTTCTTCGAGCTATATGGCCGGCCCATTGCCACTTCAGCTTATAATCCGTTGGGCTATGTCCGTCACTCTGGTTTTACTGCGGATATCCTCATTTCTGAGTCTATCACGCAGAGAAACTCCGAGCATAGCCCTCTCCATAGCTCGCTGAGCGACCTTGAGCGTCCTCATACGGCCGGCAGTGAAGGACCACGTCTCAGATCCGTAAGTCATCACTGGCAACACGTGCTCGTTTGCCTTCTCCTTAATTAAAGGAAAATAATAAAGTATCTTCTTGTCCACCGAATGTAGCAGCACACAGCAAAGAAAGGAGAACTAAAATCCTTCCGTCCGTCCTATCCGTCGGAAATCTTCGTCTTAATGCTTTTGTGAATTACTATAGTCAACCAAATCTAAGAAATACAATTTGACAGCTGTCAGACTTATTGCACCAAGCATGCAACCAAAAAATGGGAACGTAAAAAATTCGATATCGGTTATTTAGAGTTGGTAATCATTTACAGTTTGGTTTGAATAATACCAGAATAAATTAAAAACGGATAATTTTAAAACACAAGATTTATCAGTTTCTTCGTATTTGTTGTTACTACTTATTTCAAAAGGCACAGTTATAAAAATTTAAGATTGAAACTAGATTCAAAATAAATTTATTCAATCACTTTCAGTACAACTAGTACCGTCGTTGTTTATATTAATTATTATTATTTGATTTTCAATAATGCAGTCAAAATTAATGTTTCTTTCAAAGTTATCCATAATTCCAATTTTGCCCAATCATCCTTTGTGACATGGGCACATGCTTCAACGAACTTTTTTTATAGCAATGGGTGACAAACGAGCACACAGTTCACCTGATGGTAAGTGGATGCTATGGCCCATAGACATACACATTTATCCTCAATTAAGAATCAAAATACAAATGCGTTGTCACCCTTGAGGACTAAGATGGAATGCCTCGATTCCAGTAAAAAGGGTCTCCAGTAAAAAGGGTCTCCATTTCTCTACACTCACCATATGAAACACATCATCATTACGCTGCTATTTTACGCTGGTATTCTGTGAGAGCGTGGTCGTGCCCTGGTTGAGCCGACCCATTCGTGCTACAACTATATATAGATGTAGCGTGGCTCTACCACGTACAAAAAGTTATTATAGAAGAAACAGTCCAAAAAGTTAAAAGCCGAGTCACAACATAAGAAAACAAACATAAAATCACAAAATTACCCACAGCAAGCTCTCGAAACAGAAACAGAAACTTTTTTTTAATATAGATTATGAATTTTATGAAATGAAACCCAACGGGACTAGGTTTTTTTTTTTAAATAAGAGCTTACAATCATGCGTGTTACAATTTTAACAACACAAAACAAATTATAAATATCTTGGTAGCGAACACCCTTTTCTGGGCTTATTATCATCCATAAATTCCTTGATATTAAAATAACCCTTTTTTATACAAACTTAAATAAAGTTTTTAAACTATGTGTACTTACGTCAAATTTTGTGTATTTTCTGGCATTTTGTTATAAAAGCGTATACATCGCTTCGCGCACTGATTCTGTGGAGTCGAGTAACTGGTATCAAAATGGGGGGGATATTGAAATTATGTAGTGGTTATTTTAGCACGGCCTTGTATATGAGTTTTTTGCCTACAAACATTTACTTTGACAAAGTGAAAAAAAAAATAAACTTTATTTTATTCATAATTCATGTATTTAAAGAATTTTTACATTTAAGAATTTACTGATTCGATTATTAGAATATTTTTGCCGATTATTTAATTATTTTGCCGATTATTCGCTTAACAATGAATTTTGATCATCCAAACACTACGGTATTAAACATAGCGATATGTCATTGAAACGACGTCAAGTAAAAAAAAAAGTTAATACTGGTTATTTTTTAATATTTTGCTTTGTTTGAAAAATTCAAATTTAAATTAGTGATAAAAAACCATACACGTTGTAATGAAATATAGATTACTTCGTAATTCTTCGGATTTACCTAAAAGCTTATTTTAAATCGTGTGAGTACGCTTGTGCAAAGTTATTGCGGAATGATTAATGTGAAACGTCAAAAGGTATTTCTTAGATTTGGTTGACTATAATTGGTTTTGACAATTGCATTATGTTGCGTATTTTAATATTAATAAATAAAATATAATTTTAATAGAATATATTTAGATACAGATTACTGGAAGGGTTGCAAAAAATACAGGAAGTTTCATTTACGGTGTGAATAAATATTACTATGTGTAAAGTGAAGAAGCCTACTATCTATGTAGAAAACATTTTTCACTTTCACTAATTCAAATTTCAGTATTTCGAGTAACTAATTATTGCTTTTAAAACTTAAAAGAATCTCTAGTGATGGGAGTGAATGACGGATTGGAATAAAATCTATGTTTACTCCGGACTTTTTAGTGTTAATATAACATTTTATTAACAATGAAGAAAACATTAAATTTTTATAAGACATGGAAGACACTTATTTCGAAACATTTTGCTATTTGCTTTATCGGCAAAAAAGTTGCCAATGCAATACTATTAAATATTTCTGGTTTTGCGTAAAATAAAAAAAATCATATCATGATCTGCCTGACACTATGTCCTACAATAACGCCTCGATGTCTAACGGAATTATGGAATAGTAATGTGTATCTATTTAGGTAATGATTATTTCTTTTCCGTTTTCCTGACAAAGCTCTCTCGCCTCCTTCACATCCAAATACCTACGCATACATGTTCGTCGGTTAAGGGTACTCCTAATTTGGCCCGTTTTCAATAAATAGCTAATTTGGTCGATAAATTTTCGCCTAGGACGTCCCTTTCCGACTCTGCCATTCACCTCTGCAACATAAATTTTCTTTGTCACTCTTTCCGCATTCATTCTTTCCACATGACCTAACCACCGAAGCATTTCTTTCTTAATCCTGGTCACAACATCATCTTGCAAACCACACTCTTCTCTTATCACACAATTTCTCACTCTGTCATTCAAATTCCTAAGATACTCTTTGACGCCCGCATTTCTACTGCGTTTATTCTACTCTCGTGCTTCTTCTGCCACACCCAACTTTCACTACCATACGTGAATTTAGGGACCAACACAGCATTGTGAATTGCCATACGTGCCTTTTTTGACACATTCTGACTCTTCACAATAAAGTGTAGGGCCCCATTTACTCTATTTCCTGCTTTCCACTCCTCTCTTTCCTATATTCATATATATTTATAATAATTTGCAAGAAAAGCGCTTTTAAAATTTTACGATTTAAACAACCACAACCGTAAAACGTATGGACTCTTCAGTTATGAACATTATATTATTCATTAGACATTTGTAGTTGGTAATTATGCTCTTTTAATTAAAAATAAAAGAAATTTACATATTAAGGAACCCACCTGAGCAAGTAACACCCGCGCTATTTTACTCATTTTATCTGGTGATGCTGCAACTCTTGCAAGATGTGTCGCCGCTTCTTTTAATTGCCCATTCTCGATTAAGGAGCGGGCATATTTAAATCGGACCTGTAAATTTAAGAAGACGTCTTAGAAAAAAAAAACAATAAATTCTCAATGATATTGCTACGTGACCAAGTGCATAACAAATCCGCAACGCCGTAGTTTGTATATTTTCATCCTCCTTACGAGGTTTTTTCATGCGCTATAATTTGATTTTTGAATCGATATGAAGAAGTGAGTCAGGAGCACTAAAGTTAAATTACAAAGGTAAAATAGATTTGACCAATTTAATTAGTAATGGTGTAAGACAATGTGGGAGAACTTGTATAAGCTAAGTAAAACATATATGTCTTTTTCAATTATTATTCAATAGAAATGTTTACAGTAGAAATTAGAAATTTAAACATGGACCTGTAATGCGACTATGCTGCAAACAGCATTGCACGTAATAAAAGAAGTTAATGTTTAAAAAACGTCGTGGTAGCTCATGGGTTTAGCGCTCGCTGTAAATTTCACAGTACGTGAGTAACCATACGGCACCAATGAAATTGTTAATTGCAATTTTAAATACTGATTTACCACACGGTCGGCGGTAACGGCATATCTGAGAAATGAAAAAAATATTTCGAAGACATGTAAAATTCGCCAACACGCATTGGACAGCGCAGCGGACACTTCCATGCCATACTCTGGGCACAGGCCAGGCTCAGGCCTGAGCAGTGGGATGTATACCGATGTTACTTTACTTTTAACGATTAAAATCTTGAAAGCATTTATTGCTTAACATATACTCATTGTATAGGCTTACACATAAAATACATAAATTTAATCTGATTGTACGATTAAACAGCATGCCGTATGGATCCATCGAACTCTGGTTTAAAAGTTATTCCGAGTTTGAAACGACAAATAAATTATAGTGTTGTAAAAGTATGGAAAGTTGTATGAATTTTATAATTCATATTATTTCAAAAATAATAAAGAACCAGTTCCGTTTTGATATAATGGTCTCTAGATATTTTATTACATCGATTTTTTTTTACTTTTTGGGAAAGTTATGTCTGGAATTCATAAGCGAGCTAATGCTCGAGATACACAAGGCTAGTTTTACAAGCTAAGATAGCAAGCTAGTGTTAGTAAGCTAGCGAGCTAGTAAGTCTGGCTTCGTGTATACAAAACTAGTTTTTATTTTTTATTTTAGCTATTCTTACCGATCCTAGCGTTATGAGCTAACGTCTCATGTTAGGATAGTTTAATAGGACGGTATTCTATTTTTGTAGCTAGTAGCACCTTAACTGCGTATTTTGAAAGGTATAAAATGCCCCCAAACTTCGTACCGATATTAATTTAAAGTTTGTACAATTGTACCGTGTGTAGGAATGTCTGTGGAACGCCACCATTTTATTTTATAAGTCTATGCATGATTCAGCACTACAAGAAACATGTAGTGAATTATTGACAGTGGATGTACAAAAGACTACCAAATAAGTAAAAATTAAATTTAAATTTAAGAGCTAATTACTTACTGTAAAGAACTATCAAACATTTATAAATCAACCAGGGTTTCAAGAGGAATATAAGCCAAAGTAAAAGAGGTTCCAAGAAATGCACAGATTCATAAAAAACAACGGTAAGTTAATTGCAATCATTTATTTATTATAACTAAAACGCATAAGCCGAACGAAATAAATTGACACCTGGATCAGAACTCAATACTCCCCCAGCTTGCCCGCATGATCAAGTGGCGGAATAAAACAAATTTGATATCACTCAGCGTATCACAGAACGCAACAAAATTCTCCCAACTTGCCCACGGCCATTGACATCAAGGAATGATTTGACTCAGATGTTTCTCTATTGAGAACATTCGAACAAGGGACCGTCAAACCTGAAACTTCGTGTATCTTTCACGTTTACGACGCAGACAACTCAACATGTTCACATCACAGAGGAATGAAATTAAGTTGCCGGGAAAAAACATCTCCTTATACATAATATATCCAGGATTGTACAAATTGTGCATTAAATTGTAAAATTAAAAATAAATTGCGCCCACAGGTAACAGGTCATGTCTTTATTCATGATTATTCTTATTATGAATAAAGATGTTTTATTTCGTTTTTGTAGGCTTTTGGTAAGAGACAAAAATTTTAAAAAATCCCGTTTAAGACTACGGAGGCTCTAAATTTCTCACCCGACAAGTAAATTGCTTTATTAAAGGCGAACGTGTCTGGCTGCTCAGCTGACTTTAAATTTAAACACGTAATGTCTATGACAGTTATTAAAGATTTTCGGCAAATCAAAATTAAACAGAATTATTTTTTTTTGTCTTTTGACAATTCAAAAGTGCCTGTAACCGGCCTTGAAATAAATGCTTTGATTTTGATTTTGATCCTCTAGAGCAGTGATTCCCAAAGTGGTCTATATCGACCCCTAGGGGTCTATGACAACTTGCAAGGGGTCTACGTCAGCGAAAAAAAATTTTGGGGCCCATGAAATGAAAATGGGGGTCCACGATAGTAGATCTCAACACATACACTGATAGTACCTATTTACTTACATCATACTATCTTATAATATCAAAACATATACATTATTTATAAAAGTACCTATGAAGTAAAAATTTATTATATATGTTTATAAAATTGTGTAAGTTGAAGGATGTTGGTATTCGCTTTGTGGTCGCAATACATTTTGAACTTGTAAAAACCTGAAAGTCGCAGTCTCAGAGCTTCGCTACCTTGCACTGACTTGTTCAATTCGTCACTCTATAAATACCAATGTGGGACAAATACGTTTATTCGTTTCCTGAATCTTTAAAAGGAAAGTGCTAAGAAAATATTTTAAAAAATATAAACAGATAGTATATCACACAAATTATAGTGAGTCAGTGTTATTTTGTTTGAGAGTGCTGGAGAAAAGTAAGTACATTATTTTTTTATTAAATTTTAGTTTTGTACTCGTAGTTAGCAGATAGATAAATTACGCCAATCATGACTTTAGTTATTAGTAGTTTAATATTCAATCATGCAAAATTACACGAGTACTCCTCAATAGTTTCTTTTTGAAAGTTTTAGCAATCGGTATTATAATTACAGTGCAATCTCCGTAATTCGAGCTAATTGTTGCAAGAAGATGTTCGAATTATGTAATGTTTTCGGAAAAATCAAAAAATATTTTTAATATACAGCTGCTGGATTTTCTGCCATATTTAAATAATTTAATTTTGCCCACAGATGACTGATGCCATGTCCGAATCTAAAAAGAAATGTAGACAGTACAGTGTCGATTATTTGAAATTTGGCTTCATTCCATCATTGCCGGACAAACAATTGCCTCTGTGCCTTTTATGCAACAAAGTTTTGGCCAATGACGCTATGAAACCATCTAAATTATGCAATATCATCTGAGAAGATGCCACCCTGATAAAACAGAGAAAGATTTGAAATACTTTCAAACACTCAAAGATAAACTTCAGAAGAGACCTACACTGAACAGAATGTTCGCTTCGACGTCACAAAGAAATGATGACGGTTTGCGGGCGTCTTACAATATCCCGTTACTTATAGCAAAATCCGGAAAACCGCATACTATCGGAGAGAAGTTAATTTTGCCAGCCGTTGAAGAGGTTTTAAAAACTGTTTTACACAAACCTGCATCTGATATCATTAAAAGAATTCCCTTAAGCAATAATACTGTTGAAAGACGTATTGATGAAATGAGTTCTGATATTGAAAGATTCATATGTAATTATTTGCAAACGACCCAATTTCTCTATACAACTGAACGAGTCAACTTTACCTGATAATGCAGCATTATTATTGGCATATGTTCGTTTTATTATGAATCAAGAAATCTACGAAGAACTGCTCTTCGCAAGAACTTTGATAACCGACACTAAAGGTGAATCAACATTTCATGTTTTGAAGGATTACTTCATTGAAAAAGCAATTCCTTTATCAAATATAATATCAGTAGCTACAGATGGAGCACCTGCCATGGTTGGACGTTATCGTGGATTTATAAGCTATTTAAAACAAAATGTGTCAGGGATGTTAGCAATACACTGCGTCATCCATCGACAAACATTTAGTTGCTAAAAATTTGAGTGTTAGATTGCATGAATCACTTCATTTAGTCATTGATGCAGTAAACCGAATCCGAAGCAACGCGTTGAATACGCGATTATTTGCGCAGTTGTGTGAAGAAAATGACAAACACTTTCAACAATTACTCCTTCACACTGAAGTACGCTGGCTGTCGAAAGGCTTATGTTTGACAAGATTTTTTGCACTTTTTGAGAAAATTTAATGAATAGGAAAACCGACATCGCCTATTTAACAGATTTGTTTACAAAATTTAATATGGATAATTTACAATTACAAGGCGACAGTTTAAATTTGATTAAAACAAAGTCCATCTTATCAACGTTTCTTGCCAGAGTTAAACTAATGAAGCAAAATATTGGACGTGGCAATTTGTCACAGACAAGCTGCCAGGAAGACGACTTTTCAACTTACGTTCAACATTTAAATGCCCTCTATTCAGATTTTGAATCTAGGTTTGAGGATATTTTGACTACGGTAGTATCACCGTGGATAATTAATCCATATGGTGACATAGAAGAAACGAATGTCATAATACAAGAGGAACTGACTGAACTAAGTACAAACGTAGAACTTAAGGTTCAGTTTACGTTACGTTAGTTTAAAACGGATATCAGCAATTCTGGCTGCAAAACAACATACCCGTTACTTATCCCGTATTATGGAATATAGCGAGGAAATTTTTAATTTCCTTTCCATCGTCATACCTAGTCGAAAGGGGGTTCAGCGCTGTTACCAATCTCCTAACGAAAAAAAGAAACAGACTGGATATCATTAGCCGAGGAGATTTAAGATTAACCCTTACAAAATTGACGCCAAATGTTGATAATTTATTATTAAAGCATCAGGTTCATCCTTCTCACTAAAATATTTACTTATTGCTTATGTTATTTTATTTATAGTTTATTTTATGTTTATTTAATGCTACGTATATTTTACGTAACAGATACAAAATTTTAT